CCCAGCCCTTGTGCCAACTTAATTTGTAGCATTTAATTAATTATTTACTTTTTTTCAAACACCCAAATCAGAGTTTTAAACTTTATTTTGAGGTCCTAAATGTTCATAACAGGGCTGAAAAAATTGCACATCTGATACTTAATAAAAAGAAAAGAAAACACCTTGAGGCAAACAAACAACATTTTCCACCTATGCAAATGATTACCTATGTTTCAGAGAAACCAAATTTGACTAACACATGCACGACTGCAGCACTTCATATCAGGCTTTGTCTGATATCGTGCTTGGATGGTAGCATTCTCAGACAAACCCTCGCCTGCATGCACTGGAAACCACAACAAAGTGATTTCATCAGGCTGTGCACTTGGAACAGAAGTGAGAGGACCACGAAAGCACAGTCCAGGCTAAAGTCCTCGGAAATTGAATCATTTCAGAGAAACAATGAATATTTATTAAAGATGGAACTGTGATCGCATCTTTATGAAGGGTTACAAAACCATGACATCGGACAATAGGTAAAATAACATTACAAAAAGCACAACTTTTGAGCTTGATGAAAAAGGATGTAAATCAATGTGAAAAAGCAAATTAAGACATTTGTACAGTGTCCCAACTTTTTTGGAATTGGGTTTGTACATTACCATGTCCGACGCGCCGGATCTGTTTTAATTCAATTGATGAAACACTGAAAATTCAGTTAGTAAATTCAGAAACAACATCTGTGATGGCAAAATTATGGTTCCTCTAACTACTAGTAAACAACAACTAGTAACAACAACCTAAAATTCAATGATAAAGTATATTTATATACAAATTTTAGCTATTCCCCCAGGCTTAAATGGCATCCATTCAACTTTGTCTACTCCAAGTCCTTTAGAGATAGTAGTATATTATCTTATCCAATTATTATATTATTCAAAGTTTTGGATAAATTATACATACAATAACTTAAATAAGTTCTCACCCAATCAAGGGCATCACAATGTTGTGTTCTTTCACTCATAACATTTTAAAGCATCAAGGTTAAAACAGTAGTCATGCTAAAATATAAGTTTATGAGATTTGTAAATTATTCCATTCCTTTTTTACTCACAATTTGTACAGTGTCCCAACTTTTTTGGAATTGGGTTTGTACATTACCATGTCCGACACGCCGGATCTGTTTTAATTCAATTGATGAAACACTGAAAATTCAGTTAGTAAATTCAGAAACAACATCTGTGATGGCAAAATTATGGTTCCTCTAACTACAAGTAAACAACAACTAGTAACACCAACCTAAAATTCAATGATAAAATATATTTATATACAAACTTTTAGCTATTCCCCCAGGCTTAAATGGCATCCATTCAACTTTGTCTACTCCAAGTCCTTTAGAGATAGTAGTATATTATCTTATCCAATTATTATATTATTCAAAGTTTTGGATAAATTATATATACAATAACTTAAATAAGTTCTCACCCAATCAAGGGCATCACAATGTTGTGTTCTTTCACTCATAACATTTTAAAGCATCAAGGTTAAAACAGTAGTCATGTAAACAATTGTCTTCAGTCATTCCCATCACTATTCCATACGCTTCAGTAGAAACAATGAGGATTTATCTAAGTGTGGATGGAGTCTTGCATATCCTGCTTGCACATTAACATTATTTGACTTAAGGGCAGAACTATTGACTTGGATTGACACGGAAAAAGATGAATACAGACATATTTGCTGCTGCGTGCAAAAGAGTCACTGTGTTGGTATTCTGGATTTATTAAAGCAACAGGGCATGCACATGAACCATATCCGAGCATGAGTAAATATCATTAGAACTCTGTCCATTAAAGGAAGATTTCTGAATTATTCTAATATTAACATGAAAGATGGTTTTAAACTCAAAGTCACATGAATTAAAAAAAAGATACGTTGACTTGATGGATCTTGATTTGCAGTGAATCTATAAAACCATTCCACTATGATAATCAATTTTAAATAATGCTAAACAATTTTTTATTTTTAAACAATTGTCTTCAGTCATTCCCATCACTATTCCATACGCTTCAGTAGAAACAATGAGGATTTATCTAAGTGTGGATGGAGTCTTGCATATCCTGCTTGCACATTAACATTATTTGACTTAAGGGCAGAACTATTGACTTGGATTGACACGGAAAAAAGATGAATACAGACACATTTGCTGCTGCGTGCAAAAGAGTCACTGTGTTGGTATTCTGGATTTTTAAAGCAACAGGGCATGCACATGAACCATATCCGAGCATGAGTAAATATCATTAGAACTCTGTCCATTAAAGGAAGATTTCTGAATTATTCTAATATTAACATGAAAGATGGTTTTAAACTCAAAGTCACATGAATTAAAAAAAAGATACGTTGACTTGATGGATCTTGATTTGCAGTGAATCTATAAAACCATTCCACTATGATAATCAATTTTAAATAATGCTAAACAATTTTTTATTTTTTTTTACATTAAAGTGACAAACAAGCATAATATTGTTTCTAGAATAGCAGCAAATATTCCTCTTGATGTGAACAGGCATTCAGAAAGAGGTTCTTACATGCTGTTTTTGTGGGAACTGGGCGTAACAGGCCGCTGGAGGGGCTTGTCTATGCTGCGAGACGATGGAGGGTATGATCTTCTCTTCATCTTCACCATGTTGGTCATTATCTACAAAGCATCATAAAGATCCTTAGCATCTGATCATCCAGCATCGCAAACAAATCAACACAAAGGAATCATTCTTTTGAACTGGTTCTTTTTTATGAACTAGTTAAACCAGTTCACCAAATCGGACTGAACCGTCTGAACCAGTTCACGGCTTGAGCAGCACAGATCTACAAGTTACTCAATCAAAACCCACTTTCAGATGCCTGACAGTCACTCAGACTTGAAATGAACCAAAACACTGGTGTATATAATCTTATAATGCTGGTTTTTGTGAACTCATTCAGCGCTCCAGTTCCTCCAACAGTCACAGAGGAAACAGTTCGACTCAGACCGATGAGCCGCTGATATGCGCATATGTGAACTGAGCACTTGAATGAAGAAGTGAAATGAATATTTTTATGGCTTCTCATTGTTTATGTATAAAGATGAGCTGATGAAGACAAGTTTATTCACTTTATATGCTTTCAACATGTAAAAAACTTGCATTTCACATCATTATCATAATAATATAATTTCATATATGTTATGTAATTGTTTGATTACATAAATTAATGAATTCATCCAGTTCATTGAAACAAATTGTGTGAAAGAATCAGTTCGCGGAAAATAATCTGACTTTGCTCTGGATTACAGGTAATAATGCTATAAATATGTTCAGTTTCTTGCACAGACTGATCGTTTCACTTCATAAGGCCTCAATATATCGTCAGGAGCCACAGGTATGAATTTTGTTGCCTTTATATGCCTTTTTGACTCTCAAAGTGACGGTAGTTGTTGACTTGCATTTTATGAATCACCAAGGACCACGGTTTCAGATAAAAATCTTCTTTATCATTCTAATGAAGAAAAAAAAAGTCCACTACATCTTGGATGGCCTGTGGGTGAGTAAATTAAATTGACTTTGAAAAGTCCTCTTGTATTTATCATTTGCGTGTTTTAACCTACAATACCCTTGTATGTGAAGTTCTGGACCAGTTTCTGGTTTCTTTCGTAATATCATAAATATACTGTAGAGTGATGGTTTACCCCGAGATACTCTGTTGTCAGCAAAGATTCTCCGCTGAGCTCTTTTGGCTGAGGCTGCAGGACTTCCTCTTTATCTAGGTCTGCCTCCATAACATCTTCCTGTTAACAAGACCAAAGAATTCGATCAAAGGACTGAGTGGGAAACTGCCACTCAAACTGCCGATAAAATGCAAATCACAGTGATCGCCTTTCACACATTTTATGTGAAATCAGAAGTCATGTTGAGCAATAATCTTGCATAGAAGACATGACCAAAGTGAATTACCTCATCATCGTCATCCTCTTCATCATCTGACTCAGGTTCATGTTCAAGGATGTCCACTGTATATAGCAGAATCATAAATGAATACAAACGAATCAGTAAAATAATGACATAAATATGGGAAATAAACTGTGGAATGCAGCAGATATATTTTTGAGGAATATCCTGGCAAATATTTGCAATTCAGTAAACTTGAATGGTGAAAAAAAAAAAATCATAAAACCACAATTAAAACATTATAAAAAGAGTCAAACGATTCATTTGGTCATACTGACCAAGGTTATGATACTTTTAAGGGTCTTTTTTGTTCCTTTTGAACCTGATAACCTGGTTTTCATTCATTCATTATTTTACTGAAAAAAGGAGACCATGATATTGTTCAAAATTTAACTTTTTGTGTTCCACGGAAGAAAAAAAGTTATATGTGTTAAATGGGGTGATGACAGATGCATTATCTATTTTTAATTTTTAGGTGAACAATTATTTACTGCTTTTTTTCTTACCCGAGTTAAGCTGTTTGATGATGAATTCAATCTGCCTGTTGAGTTCAGGATTTTCTTCTTTACTGTAACAGTGTAAGATCTCCTCCATACTCTAAATGCAACAACAGAATACTCACATTGTAGTCATGGAGCACAACAGCGACCCATAATTTTTTATTCTTTTTTAGCAGCCTTGTTTCCTGCAGCATTTTTCTTGTTTATCTTCTCCATAGGGATTCCAAAAAAATAAAAAAAATAAACAAATTATGCAAGAGACAAGCTTGGAGAAGAATCACAACATTTGAACATTTGAATATCTGAAGTACAAGAGTATATATATTAGGGGTGTAACAGTTCACAAAATTCACGGTTCGGTTCGATACGACACAGTGGTGTCACGGTTCGGTTCGGTACGTTCGGTACGGGGCGAATTGGTTATGTCACAATGAAATGATGTATATCACACAGGCAATGTGCAAACTTTGCGCAAGAGTTATGCCGGTGAACGTCTTAATCTCAGTCAATTCACTATATGCAGAAAGTAAAAACGGACTGACGGAGTAATGACGGAGCTTTCGGCATCTGACGCCGCATTCTCTCTCAGAGACGCCTCTACTTCAACATATGCTGATAACGGTATATAGCGAACTGTTTTCATTTATTCCCTTAATATTTCTCTTGTGGCCCATACATAGTGAAAAAGGAATGAGAAGAAGCGTATTTCATGTTAAACAGGTTTTTTAAAGTCGGTGATTGGAATGAAAGCTTTTTATTTCATTGATTTTTATCAGTGACTGCAGTGTTAATATTTTAATTATAGGCATACAATCCATTTATACACACCTTAAAAGACTGTTTTTAAAAACATTTTAATTGAGGAGTAAGCTAAATATGTTTTGTTATCCTTGCAGTGCGTCAGTTATGCTGTAATTATTGCGGGGCAAATTAATTGTCATTTTAATTTAATAATAAATGTAACTTCATAATAATAATAGGCCTAATAAAAATAAGAATGTAACAGGCCTATATTAATTGGAAATGCCAAATCCTCTTAATATTTCTAATAATTGATGTTTTTGACAATATCTCTGGTTATCGTTGATACAAAATCGTCATCTTTCGATGCACCCCAGCAAGGGGAGGTTATCACGGGGCCGCTAAGCCACTGGACAGACAGCACGTTGCCTGTTACGCTGTTTGGGCTGTCTTGTTGCGCGCAGTGGCACTGAGAACATTATATTTCACACTTTAAGCTCTTTTATTTTCCAAATGTAATAGGATCGATTAGTCTAACGAATCGTTCAGTTTGTAATGCGTACCGAACCGAAAGCCTCGTACCGAATGGTTCAATATGAATATGTGTATCGTTACACCCCTAATATATATGTATATACTGTATATATACAGTATATATATATATATATATATATATATATA